TTTCAAATATATATATTGAAAATAAGAAATGGTGATGTGATCAACAAATTAAACTGACAACACAATAATAATATTCCGACATGTTTGAATTATTTAATAATATATATTAACATTTTTAAGGGATCGGACCATTTGGTTCGCGAAAAATAATTGAAGAGGATTGAAAATTAAATTCTATGAAAAAAGAAGTTACAAGTAAAATTGAAATTTCATTATTTTTTTGTTCATGGTAAAAAAGAAATTACTAGAAAAAGATGTTAATGTATAGTATGGAGGTGTTGATTTGATGAAATGAAGAACTTATCACTCAAACTGTTAATACAAATGAGGTCGTTAACATGTCTGATGAAGGAAGTTTGAAAGGATATGAGAGTGAGGGAAAGGCCAGGAAGCTGCATAGTTTCAGACCGGCCTAAAATTGACATGAACGTACACACCAACATTTTGCGTAGCTTGGATTAATGTTTAACACTAAGGCTAAATTGAGGGAAGTTGTGCTTAATTATGCATTTAATTTGCCAATGGCAAGGAATTTATATTTGATAAAAATGATAAGGTTAGAGTGGTTGTACGTGATGAAATGCAAGCATGAAAATTGTCCGTGGAAACTAAATGTTGGATTTAACAAATTAAAGATGATAAGTGTTGGAGGATTACATCATATCGCCCTTACATGACAATCATGGAGATGGATGTTTGAAAATGAAATGGTGATCGACTTCCATAATTATATTGTTGCTAAAAGGTGGAATTGAAGAAGGCCATTCATGACTGTCCTACTTGAACAATGAAAGACTTTAAAGGCAAGGTGAGTAGTGATGACCACATTTTACTCGATCACTGACAGGCAAGCCGGCCTGTAAGTTTGGCTAAAAATGAGATAAGGCCGGGGTGAAGCTAGCTGAAGAAAAGTTTAAGAAGAGTTACTGTGCAGAATTTCAGAAAACAAATCAAACACGTACCTTCTTGCTTAGCTTTGTGAAATTGAGTGATATGATTTGGTATATGAGGATGAGAAGCATCGATTCCTTAGGATGCACATTTGTTGAGAGGTATATATGTAGAGAAGGGTTTATATATTGCGGGCAGACCTATAACTACTGGGGTAGATGGATGCATGCATGTCATCTAAGGGGCAAATTTGATTGATGGTAATGATGGAATCTTCCCTGTTGCATACATACGTTGTTGTAGAGGTTGAGATCAGAGCAAAGAATCTTGGTTCTAGTTTTTAGAAATGCTGAAAGGCCAGGAGACCTCCAAATTGATGAGATGAGACAACCAACATTTACCTTTATGTCAGACAATTCAAGCAAAATATATGGCTTGATTCCTGCACTTAATTGAGACAGTCTTACACTCTTATCAGGGGTTAGACACAGATTTTGTGATAGATAGACATATACATTGAAAAACCTTTGAAGTAGTAGCTAGAGCTACCACAGTTAACAATTTTAGACTTGAGGGAAATAGATAGGGATGTGTTTACATGGTTGGCTGATAAACACTCATCTCAGTGGTCTAAGTCTCATTATATTTTACTTGCAGTACGTGCACAATGTGAAATGCTTGATAATAATATTTGTGAGTTTTTTAATGCAATGATAAAATATGCTAGGGATAATGCATGCATTGATTAATTGCTTGGCGATCATCATGATTAGACTTTATGAGCGTAGCTAGGCTGCTTTAATTTGAAGTGGAATGGAACTATATATATGCCCAACTATTATTGCAAATATTCAAATACGTACTTGAGAGACAAGTTGGAGGGTATTTGGGCCATCAAAGTGATGATTTTGTGTTTGTAGTAAGGGGAATGTATGAAGGTCAACACGTACAATTAAGGTGGATCTAGAAAATAAAACTTGCACTTGTAGGATCGGAGATCAGAGCTCACTGCTATACCATGCAAACATAATGTTTGTGCAATATTGTTGAAGCATGGGAAAGGTCCTATATATGATTATGTTGCAATCCCAACATTTCTCAAGGCATATATATGCAGGTTCTATAAGTCTATTAGCATGTCATGAGGAGTGGGTAGCTACTGATAGAGATCGAGATTCCTCATTGCCACCGTTATATACTGCCAAGTTTGGAAGACCTAGCTTAGGAATGGAAATTGAGAAACAAGTATGCTAATGAATTAACTAAAGGTGGAGTGCATTTGTCTAAGAAGTTTGTTAATTTGCATTGTTCTATCTGCGAGAGTCAAGGGCATAATAATAGAAGAAAATGTCCCCAAAGACCCACTCATGGAATTGTTACTAAAGTAAACTTAATTTATAATTTCTTGCATCTTCATATTCTTAATTTCCAACTTCTTTTGTGTTGTAGGCAACTGCAACTGTATTGCCAGTGGATGTGGTATAATAGAATCTGGTGGCAGAAAATATGGTTATGGCAAAAGAGATTCTTGTTATCACTTATCACTCAACCTCCAACAGAAGAGTATTTGGATATTTCAGGTGATATAAAGCTCCCTAATTTGTTTATGTTGCCACACTTTCTTTACTATTATGTGTATATAATTCATACAATATTGTAGAAAAAATGTATTGGCCATAACAAATAGAGATGAACCAAGGACAAGCAAGTAGTGGGGATGAACCAATATCAAATGAATTGGTCAGAATAGTGGAATTGGCACAACACAGAGAGATGCGAAAAATACTTCCAAAGAAAATATTCAACTCGGGCATCAAACAACGGTAAATCAAAGATCTATGGGAATGTTAAATTTGCAATCAACATTGAGTGATTAGAATCTAATGTAGGAGTGAGCAAAATATTGGTTAACCGACCAATAATCGAACTGATCGAGAAAAAAAATTTCAGTTTTCCGATATTTCGGTTATTTTACGAGTTTGGGAGTTCAGTTTCGATCGATTAATAATATACTTAAATAGCTAGCTAAGCCCACGGAGGTGTCAATGCGGGTTGGCCCGTCCCACCGCGAGTTTTTTTTTTTTTTTTTGGGCTTTTGTGGACTGGAAAACACACAGCCCAAGCCCGCTTCATGTGGGCTCGCGGGTCACACGGGCCTAGCTTCAAAAATAAAAATATAAATTTTATTATTTTATATTCAAACTAGTATGATACCCGTGTGATAGCACGGGATGAATATTGTTCATCTTATTGTGTAATTGTATGAAAAATTTAAGAGATGATGTAATATATAAAAAGTTGACACATAGTAGCAGATTCAAAAGTTTGTTTATCAACAGATAGAAGCTTCAAGTCAGAAGAACTCAACATAGAAGCCCAATAACTCTCTTTCACCTTTGTAACTAGCATATAACAAATTCTGTTAGTAGTTAGCTTTTCTGTTTCTTATGTTAGTTTTCTTCTTCCCTTGCTTAATCATCTTCTTCTAGCTGTATATAATAGAAGAGAACAACAGAATGTAAAGATTATGAGAATAATAAGCCACACAGTTTTCTTCCTCCGCTCTCTGTGTTCTACCTTCTTCATGATTATCAACATGGTATCAGAGCTTCCATGAAGCTATGGCGTGGAGAATACCTATCCCTACAAATCCAATTCCCATTCCGGCATTTGCTGCACATCCGATCCTTGATCCAAATGATCGAGCCAATCCTCTTAGCCTCCATCTCAGACTGATCCCAAGTTCTTCTACTGGGATCAATGCAACACGATGGTTCTATCGTGGATCCTCAGAGCTGTTTCACATACTATAGCACGAAGTGTTCTATGGATCAATACGGCGGATGGAGTATGGAAAGATCTGAAGAAACGTTTCAGTCAACAAGACATCTTTCGCATTGCTGAAATCCAAGCTGAAATTCATCAGATAAGGCAAGGTAACCTTTCAGTAAATGAGTATTTCACTCAGATTAAACTGTTATGGGATGAATTAGTTGTTTTGAGGCCTGCCCCCTCTTGTGAATGTTCCCCTAGTTGTAAGTGTGGATCTGACTTATCTGAGAAGGTCAGAACACACCTTGAAAATGATATGTTGACAGCCTTCCTGATTGGGTTGAATGAGAACTTCACAAATGTCAAACAACAGATTATGCTGATGAAACCCCTTCCTGGTGTTGGAGAGGCTTTCTCTATGGTTTCCCAACAAGAAAGGCAAGTGGGAATTACCCCAAACACCTTAGGAGACAGTGTGACAGGGGCCATTGCCTTCTTCACAAAATATGATAGTAATGGCAGGAGACCCTTCCCAAATCAGAAGCAAAAACCTGTGTGTAGTTATTGTGGGTACACAGGACATACAGTTGACAAATGTTACAAGAAACATGGCTACCCTCCTGGTTGGAAGCCAAGAAACAAGGGCATGGGGTCTGCAAATCAAGTCCAATCCTCTCTGCAAGAAGATAATTAACTCCCTAGAGATTGGTTCTTCTACTACTAAGGATGATTATAGAAGATTCCTGGAGTTCATGCAACAAGAAAGAACAAGGAGTTCCCCCCTTGATGATACTCCTCAAGTCAATGCTATATCAGCAAACTTCATTCCTGATGTCAAATTGGAAGGTAAGACAGCTAATCCTGCATCTGTCTTAGATAATTCCTAATCATCATATTGGATTCTTGATAGTGGTGCTACACACCATATTGTATGCAATGAACATCTACTACAGACATCAAAAAGGGTGCAAGGGATATATGTGCACCTACCAAATGGACACCAAGCTCAGGTGTCTCACATTGGAACCATCCAGTTATCTGCTGACTTAATCTTGCAGAATGTGTTGTGTGTGCCTATTTTCCAGTACAATTTGATCTCCTTGGGAGAACTCATGAGAAATTCAAACTGCAGTATATGGTTTCACTCTAACCAATGTGTTATACAGGATCAACACTCTGGAAGGATGATTGGTATGGCTAAGCTAAGGAAAGGACTCTATCAGCTCAACTTTCCTGATTTTTCTCACTGTAATCTTGCTGTTAATTCTTGTAGCTTCTGGCATGCTAGATTAGGCCACACTTCTGTTAACAAAATGAAGTTTCTTCATACATTAGACAGTAAAATTTGTAATGACAAGCCTACTACATGTGACTGTTGCCATTTAGCCAAGCAAAGAAGACTTCCCTTTCAGTCTAGTGTTTCTGTCTCAAATAATTGCTTTGATCTCATTCATGCTGACATATGGGGACCATATCATGTACCCACAATCTATGGTTACCAGTATTTCTTAACATTGGTAGATGATTATAGCAGAGCTACATGGATATATCTTATGAGGAAGAAAAGTGAAGTTAAACAGCTTATGCAAACCTTCTATGAGCTAGTCAGTACACAATTTGGGAAAAATGTTAAATGTATAAGGACAGATAATGGAAAAGAATTTCTCATGGAAGAATTCTATCAACATAAGGGTATCATTCATCAAACATCCTGTGTATACACACCACAGCAGAACAGTGTTGTTGAAAGAAAGCATGGTCATATCTTGTCCATGTCAAGGGCATTAAGGTTCCAGGCAAGCCTTCCTGAGGAGTTTTGGGGAGATTGTATCCTCCATGCTATCTATCTGATCAATAGACTCCCATCTGCAGCCTTGAACAATCAAATTCCATATCAAATCCTTTCTGATAAGGTGCCACAGTATCAACATCTTAGGGTGTTTGGTTGCCTAACTTTTGCTGTTGTTCCAAGCTGCCTAAGAAATAAATTCTCACCAAGAGCTAGGAAGTGCATTCTCCTAGGCTTTGCAAATGGCATGAAAGGATACAAACTTTTTGATGTGGAATCAAAGGAAGTCTTTGTGTCAAGAGATGTTTCTTTTTATGAGAATATATTTCCCTTTCAGAAGTTAGAAAAGAAGGATCATGATAATCTAGTGCTGCCATCTGAAAATACACCTTATTTGGATACTGAGGATCATGTCCTTATGCCTGTTACTGAGCAGGTTTTACCTGAAGTCCAGTCCCTGGAATCTCAGACAAGTGAAGCCACTAATACTGAGATCATTCCCACAGATGCACCTCAACAGAGAAGATCAACCAGAACAAAAACAACACCTAACTATCTCAAAGATTATAGCTGTCAGAATGTGGCTGCAAGACAAACATCTCCAAGTTTCTATCCTATGATAATCTGTCAGAGAGATACAAAGCCCTTGCTGTCAACATCTCAGATATCAAAGAGCCAAAGAACTATAATGAGGCCATAAAGAAGGAGTGTTGGAGGAAAGCCATGGAAGCTGAGTTCAAGGCATTGGAGGCAAATAACACATGGATCATCACAGAACTTCCTCCTAACAAAGAGCCAATAGGCTGTAAATGGGTCTACAAGACCAAACTCAAGTCTGATGGGACCATAAAAAGACACAAAGCTAGGCTTGTGGCCAAAGGGTACACTCAAACACCTGGGCTAGACTATCTGGACACATTTAGTCCTGTTGCCAAAATAACAACAATCAGGATGCTACTGGCTATTGCTGCTATTAAAGGCTGGTTTTTACACCAGCTAGATGTTAACAATGCATTCCTGCATGGAGAATTGAGTGAAGAAGTCTATACGAAACTACCTCCTGGCCTCACATCACCCAAACCTGGACAAGTTTGCAGGTTAGTGAAGTCTTTATATGGTTTAAAGCAAGCTAGCAGGCAGTGGAATGTCAAGTTGACTCATGAGTTATTTGGTATGGGTTTTAGGCAGGCTGTCTCTGATTCTTCTTTATTTACCAGAGGCAAAGATGATAAATTTGTAGCCTTACTTGTATATGTTGATGATGTGGTGATTGCTAGTCCTGATTTGAGCCAAATAAAGCAGATCAAAGGACATTTAGATGATGTGTTTCACATTAAGGACTTGGGCTCCTTAAGTTTCTTTCTGGGATTGGAGGTTGCCAGAAGTAATAAGGGAATTGCAATGACACAAAGAAAATATACCATGGAATTACTTGAAGATGCAGGTTTTTTACATTGTAAACCTGCTAATACACCCATGGTTACATCTATTAAATTCAGCAGGACTAGTGGCAATCTACTTGAAGATCCTACTCAATACAGGAGACTTGTGGGCAAACTATTGTATCTAACTATCACTAGACCTGACATCAGCTATGCTATCCAACAACTGTCTCAGTTCCTAGACTACCCCACTGATATACATATGCAGGTAGCTCATAGGGTTCTTAGATATATAAAAGCAGCTCCAGGACAAGGCCTCTTCTTCTCAGCTACATCCTATCTTCAACTTAAAGGATTCACTGACTCTGATTGGGCAGCTTGTCCAGATACTAGAAGGTCCATCACAGGGTTCTGCATGTTCCTTGGCAATACTTTTAGTCTCCTGGAAATCCAAGAAGCAGGTGACCATCTCCAGAAGCTCATCTGAGGCAGAATATAGGGCCCTTGCCACAGCAGCTTGTGAAATCCAATGGTTGATCTACCTAATGCAAGACTTGGGGATAGCTGGAACTCCTCCAGCAATGCTGTACTGTGACAACAAGTCTGCTATTGCAGTAGCTGAGAATCCAGTCTTCCATGAGAGGACTAAACATATTGAAATTGACTGTCATTTAGTAAGGGAAAAACTCCAAAAAGGTGTGTTGAAACTACTCCATGTTACTACCTCAAATCAGCTTGCTGATGTGTTTACAAAGCCACAAGCACATAGTACCTTCTGCTACTTCATCTCCAAGCTGTGTCTCCATAATATGTATCCTCCAGCTTGCGGGGGGATATCAACAGATAGAAGCTTCAAGTCAGAAGAACTCAACATAGAAGCCCAATAACTCTCTTTCACCTTTGTAACTAGCATATAACAAATTCTGTTAGTAGTTAGCTTTTATGTTTCTTCTGTTAGTTTTCTTCCTCCCTTACTTAATCATCTTCTTCTAGCTGTATATAATAGAAGAGAACAACAGAATGTAAAGATGATGAGAATAATAAGCCACACAGTTTTCTTCCTCCCCTCTCTGTGTTCTACCTTCTTCATGATTATCAACTTTGTTTGAAAACAAAATGTAGGCAATACTGAAAATGAAATTATAATGAAATAAAAGAAGTAGGATACATTGGTTATACTATTTGTGATCAAAGCTTCTCTTCTTTGAGTTCTTTCACAATCGTCTTCATTTTCTTTCCCACAACATTAGTAGAATACTGATCATTCAAAAAAACGTTTCACTGAGCGCTTGAGTGGTTCAACTTCATCAGCATCAATTTCACCGTCACCCTTGGATTTTTCCTTTATGGGTGTAGTGACCTCATCTCCAGAAGACAAATCCTTGAAAACAATATTAACAAACACAAATTAAATATGATTCAAATTAAACAAATAAACATAAATATAGTGATTACTAAATTAATCATGAGGAATATTACCTCTATGTGGTTGTCTTGCATGTTGTGTAATTTTGAACAAATATCTGATTCCTGTGTAATTAATTATGATTGAAATTCTCAATGTGTATTTTTTAAAAAAAAATGAAATTGGAGTTTCAAATATGTAAATAATTAAATGTTATAAATAACCTGATTCTCTCGCATCAAAGACTCGCGGACCTTTGAGATTAGTGTTGCATCACAGTTGAATTTCATTACTGTGAA